TGTGCTCGTCGACGACTTCACTCGCTACACCACAGTCTTTCCCCTGGAGCGCAAGGCCGACGTGCCTGGCGCTCTCATCCCCTGGCTTGTCTCTGCGCGTGTCCACCGCGGTCTCCCTGTCTTGCGCCTCCACTCAGACCGTGGTGGCGAGTTTGCCTCAGGTGTCCTTGGTCGCTTTTGTCGTGCGTAGGGCATCACCCAGACGTTCACCCTACCGGACTCCCCACAGCAGAATGGGGTCGCTGAGCGACGCATCGGTTTGGTCATGGAGGTGGCTCGCACCTCCATGATCCATGCCGGTGCACCCCATTTTCTGTGGCCGTTCGCTATGCGCTACGCTTCTCACCAGCTTAACCTGTGGCCGCACCCTCAGCAGCCACAAGTTTCGCCGACCCGTTTGTGGACTGGGTCCCCTGGTGACGCGTCTGCGTTCCACGTCTGGGGCTGCCTGGCTCACGTTCGTGCCTCCGGCACGGACGAGCTCACTGCCCGCACTCTTCCCTGCGTCTTCCTCGGTTTTCCCCTTGACGCGTCCGACTGGCACTTTTACCACCCGCCGTCTCACCGCTTCTTTCACTCTCGTGACGTCACCTTTGACGATTCCGTCCCCTACTACCGTAGCTTCCCCCACCGTGGTCCCTCGGTTACCCCCCCCTTGTTCCTGGCCACTCCTTCCCCGGTAGTCCCTGCCCCTCCTCCTCCTCCTCCCCGTCCCGCCCCCTCTGGTGTGTCCCACGTCACCCCCCTTCCGTCGGTGGACCCGGTTGAGGAGTCTTCTGACTCTGGTGGCCCTCCTGTGCAGTCCTCCCCGGCTGCCCCTCCCCCGGCGTCGCCTCTGCAGCCGTCGCCGCCACTGCCGCCGCCGCTGCCGCCGTCGCCGCACCCGTTCGCTGACTCTGGGGGTGCTCGTCTCGAACGCCCAGGGGGTTGCCCCTCTGGGGGTGCTGGTGTGGAGAGTGCCGGTGGTAGCCGAGGAGCAGCTTGCGGTCCAGGTGTCGCCGTTGTGCAGCTGCGGCAGCAGTCCCCACCGGTGTCAGCCCTTCGCTTGCTCGGCCTTCCGTCCCCCGACCCTGCGTCTGTTCCTCCCCGACCGTCTCCTCCCCTTCCTGTCTACGTCCCGGTTTTCCCTCCGCCGGACTCGTCCCCGGCCTGTCTCCCCTCTCGTTCCCCTCCTGTTTCCCCTCCCCTGTCTCCTGACCCGACTCCTCCATCGCACGTCTGGTCTCACCGTCCCTCTCGTGCTCCTCCTGCCTCGCCTGTCTTGCGCTCCCACCCTATGTTGCTTCGTTCCCACGCGTCTCGTCCTCCCCTTCTGCCGTTGCCTCCTCCGTCCTCCCTTGTTGTTGCACCCCCCCCGCTGTCTGACTCCCTTCGTGCAGCTCGTCCCCTTGTTCCTCGGGTCCTTGCCTCTCTCGTTACCGACCCGTCCGTTCCGGTCTCGTGCCTTGACGCTCTTGTCGCTGCTGTCGCTGACTTCGCCTCTACCCGCCGCCTTGACTACGCTACTGCTCTGGTCTCTGACCCTGCCTGTCCTCCGTCTGTCGGGGGTGCTCCTGCCCTTGGCAGTGACGTCCTGGAGGACCGCCAGTTCGAGCTTGCTTTCCTGTCCGAGGCTGCTCCCCATCTCTGTTCCATGCTGCTAGTCCCTGAGGGTGACCCAGACGCTTTCGACATCCCGACCCCTCGCACTTACGCTGAGGCCACTTCGGGACCCTGGGCCTCGCAGTGGATAGCTGCCATGGAGCAGGAGATGGCATCTTGGAGATCCACCGGCACCTTCGTCGACGCAGTTCCCCCACCTGGGGTGAACGTAGTCGATGGCCGCTGGCTCTTCAAGGTGAAGCGCCCTCCTGGAGAGCCGCCTGTCTTCAAGGCGCGCTATGTGGCTAGAGGCTTCAGTCAGCGCGAGGGGGTGGAGTTCTTCCAGACCTTCGCTCCGACCCCGAAGATGACTACTCTTCGGGTTCTGTTACACCTAGCTGCTCAGCGTGACTACGAGCTTCACTCCCTCGACTTCTCCACTGCCTTCCTTCAGGGCAGCCTACACGAGCAGGTCTACCTGCGTTGCCCTCAGGGCTTCACTGGCACCTTCCCTCCTGGGACCCAGTGGCTCCTGCGGCGCCCCGTCTACGGCCTGCGCCAGGCTCCCCGTGAGTGGCACGACACTCTCCGTGCTACGCTTGCTGACCTGCAGTTCTTTCCGTCTTTCGCAGACCCTTCACTCTTCGTTCGTGCTGGCCGGACTCCATTCTACATCCTTGTTTACGTCGACGACCTGGTCTTTGCCACAGCAGACAGGGACGCACTAGCCTCCGTGAAGGCAGAGCTGCTGAAGAGACACACGTGCACTGACCTTGGAGAACTGCGCCGTTACCTTGGCTTGCAGATCTCCAGGGACAGAGCTGCGCGCACCATCACCTTGACTCAGTCACACTTGGTGCGCCAGGTCCTTCAGAGGTTCAGCCTTCAGTTCTCCTCTGCACAGCCCACCCCTCTGCCTGTAGACCACAGACTCTCCGCTCCAGTGTCCGAGGAGTTGGTAGAGCCCAGCGGCCCCTACGCAGAGCTGGTGGGTTGCCTCATGTACCTGATGACTTGCACTCGCCCAGATCTCGCATACCCTCTCAGCATCCTGGCTCGCTTTGTGGCCACAGGCAGACACCGACCGCAGCAATGGTCTGCCGCTAAGAGGGTTCTGCATTATCTTGCTAGTACATCGGGCATGGGGTTAGTGCTAGGAGGACGCAGGTCAGTGGTCCTTACTGGACACACAGACGCTTCGTGGGCCGACGACGCTGAGACACTCCGGTCTACCCAGGGCTACTGCTTCAGCCTTGGCTCAGGTGCCGTCTCGTGGAGAGCTACCCGCTCCTCGTCTGTTGCGCAGTCCAGCTGTGAGGCTGAGATCTACGCTGGTGCCATGGCGGCACAGGAGCTCCGCTGGCTGACCTTCTTGCTCACTGACTTAGGTGAGCGGCCTAGCTCTGCCCCGGTCCTGTTCGCTGACAACAGGGCCATGATCCTCCTGTGCCACGAGCCTCGACTCGAGGGCAGAGCGAAGCACATTCAGCTGCGGTACTTCCTCCTGCGTGAGCTACAGCAGCGACGTCAGGCACGCGTAGTACACTTGGCCTCAGGTGCCAACACGACTGATATCTTTACGAAGGCGCTTGCGCCTAAAGATCATCAGCGGCACTGTGTACAGCTTGGTCTAGTTCCTATAGCCTCTCAGTTGCTAGGACCTTGACTTTGTACTATCCTTTATATGTATACTCAGACTGGACTTGTGTCCTCTCCCAGTGGTTGGACTAGTAGTGCCGCCCTGAGCTGTTTGTTTTGGACATTCCCCTATGCAGTCTAGGGGGTGTGTCAAACATGTGTATTTGTTATGTTTGTATAGACTATATAGGGTCACCTCTTAGAGGGTACAACACTTGGGTATATTTGTGTGTACTCTCACTCTATAATCAACTTCTCAATTCTGTTACAGAGCACCACGGATCCAAGACTTGATCACGTTCTGCCTGGAAAAACCACGCTCGCACTCCACAGTTGAGAGTGGTAACACCGCGCATGCTTGCCAGAGAAGCATGAGGTTGGGCCAGCGCCTGTTTATGGAACAACCACACACAAGAGGCGTGGAGCAATAGAATCAACTATAAACTACAAGCATGGTGGGAAAGGAACAATAGAAGTTGATACAAACATAGACAGTTAGCGTGATCAAACTGGCAAAAACAATCATACACAGGCAGACACAGCAGCGTGCTTTGGAGACTCGACTTACCTGCTTGACTCCGTGTTGCCAAGGTAATTCGTGAGGCCCTGGTAGAAGCCCTCCTCGTTATGGTGGTTCTGCATGATCGGGGCCCAAGTTGCCAGCTCCTTCTCCGCCTCCTTCAAATCGAACCCGGGGAGCTTGTCGTCGAAGATAGCACTGCAGCCATGGAGATACTCTCTCGTCTTCTTCTCCCTCACCATCCGATGCCGCGGCCACTTGCCCGCCCGAAACAGCTTCGTCGGCCCGAGCTTCGACAGGTCGTCCAGCCGCTCCAGCAGGTTCGTCACGCTCCCCCTCGCGAATTTCGCGCACAACAGTTCGCAGTCCCGGTAGTTGCTCTGGTAGACGTGCCCCTTGATCTGCCGCTCGTGCATCTGGTACGTGTGCGTCACCGGCTGCCCGTCCTTGTCGACGCCGCGCACCTTCACTTTCTTCGCCCCCCCTCGCCCGTACACGGTTAAGAAAGCCGAGAGCCACGTGCCGCTTACGCCCGCACCGAAAACCCCGCCGCACTCCAAGTAGCGGTGCCGAAGATCCCCCACCGCCTCGTCGACGTCCTGTGTTATCTCGGTAACATCCACCTGCGGTCGGGCGGGGAGGGGGGGGGGGGGGTGGTGGAAACATGGGGGCGCAAATCAAGTGGGAGAATGTTAGTGCTGATTGTGAAAGAACATACCACAAGCTCACATGCAAGGGCTCACCTCTCGCTTCTGAAACTTGAGGTTGAGCTCGTTCATGATGGCGAGGACGTCCGCCAGGAAGAAGAGACAAAACTGAAACTTGTATGAGATGACAACCTCGTACAGCTCATGGTTATACTCGTACAGTAAAACGATGGCCGCACCAAGGACCTTACAGAGGCTGTCATAGGATCGAATGTGTCGAGGAAAGGTTGCACTATCGATCAGTACAAGGCGCTTTTATACTTCCAGAGTACATCAAGTAACCAGGTTTATCCTATCTAAAGGAATAGACCCTTCTAGAAAATAGAATCACCCTGCGTATAGCCACGCGAGGCTATTGGCTTTAAGAGATTACGACAGGATTACGCTAGATAGCGTGTCTAGAACATTCCATGCTTGGTCGGTGATATAATTATAATAAGGGAAGAAACCAAAGGATAATGGAAAATGGGGAATATGAGGCAAAAGGAGATGAGATAAAAAGAGGAATGAAATGAAGATGAAATATGGAAAAAGGCCAAGTGGTGTAACGGAGTCGTACTCTCACACTTCCCCCCTCAAAGCTGGGTGGTAGAAGTAACACCCTGCTTGACAAGGTAGTCATGCAGAGGACGACGGGCGTTACCCATGTCGGTCTCAGAGACCCAGCTGTCCTCAGAAGGATCATAGCCCTTCCAACGAATAAGAAGCTCCACGGTGCCATTCCGACGACGGCGGTGTGCAAGCACGGACTCGACCTCGTACTCGGGTTCATTTTGGACGAGGACGGGTGGCGGCGGCGGCGGTTGGCGTCCGACGAAGATCGTATTAGGATCTCGATAGGGCTTCAGAAGTTGGACATGGAAGGCGTTGTGAATCTTCCAGGTAGCTGGTAGGCGTAAGCGGAAGGTAACAGGAGTGACCTGTGCTTCAACGAGAAAAGGCCCGCAGAAGCGAGGTCGAAGTTTAGATGGGAGATGGCTGATGTCCAGGTTGCGGGTGTCAAGGAGAACCTGGTCTCCCACGGAAATGGTGTGGTCGTTGCGATGGCGATCGGCCTGGCGCTTCTGTTGCTGTTGAATGTCAAGGAGGCGCTTATGGGTCCGATCCCAAAGCTGATGCATGGTTGTGATGAAGTCGTGTGCAGGTTGGACTGTTGCTGGTGTTGTCGGTTTCTGTGGTGTGAGTGGGTGGCGTCCGTAGCAGAGGAAGAACGGCGTCTGTCCCGTAGCGGCGTGTGTAGCGTTGTTGTAGGCAAACTCCAGGACGGGTAGGTGCAAGTCCCATTTGGAGATGTCGTCCTTGCAGGCTGCTCGGAGGAGTTGCTCAACAATTTGGTTGAGGCGCTCGGTCTGTCCGTCTGTCTGCGGATGGTATGCGGATGACATGGCGAGTTTGGTGCCGAGCAGAGACATAAGTTCCTTCCAGAACTTGCTAGTGAACTTGGGGTCTCGGTCGGAGATGAGTGTAGTTGGGATGCCATGTTGTGAGATGATGTGACGAACGAAGAGCTGTGCTGTCTCCTCGGTGCGTGCCGTCGTGTGTGTCGGGATGAAGTGTCCCATTTTGGAGAACTTGTCAATGACGACAAGGATGGCGTCATGACCGCTGGAGGTAGGTGGTAACCCGGTGATGAAGTCTAGGCTAACCACTTGCCATGGTTGTTCTGGGACAGGAAGAGGCTGCAGTAGTCCCGCCTTTTTCTGCTTGCTGCTCTTCATCCGCTGACATGTATCACACGAGGTGACCAATTTCTGGACATCTTCTGCTAAGTGGGGCCAGTAGTAGTGCTTTGCAATACCGGTCAGCGTCTTGTTGCTACCGAAGTGTCCGGCGTAGAGGACTTCGTGGTATTCTTCGAGTAGTAACTGGCGCAAAGGAGGGTAATTGGGTACCCAGATTTTTGTTGATCCCTTCCGGTACGCGATGTCACTGTCCCACTGTAGCAGATGTCGCTTTTCTGCCAAGGAAATTTCGGGGTCGATGGCGTACCCGTGTGTGAAGAGTCCCTTGAGTAGTGGATTCATCCCTTCGACCTGAATCGCGGCAACGTGTGCAGGCCGGCTGAGCGCGTCTGCTTTGTTCTTGTGGCCGGGCTTGTACACGATGTCGTAGTGGAAGTGTGTCTCGAGGAAGTCGATCCACCGGACCTGCCGCCTGGAAAGGTTGGGTTGTGTCTTCAAATATTTCAGGCTGCAGTGGTCGGTGTAGACGGTTGTTCTTCGTCCTTCGAGATAGCATCTCCACGCTTTGAAGGCGATGATGATAGCAAGAGCCTCTTTGTCGTGTATCGGGTAGTTGAGTTCTGCCCCGTGCAGTTTCTTGCTGAGGTAGGCAATGGGTTGCAGTCCATTCCCTTGGTCTTGCTCAAGACTGCACCCACGGCCTGATCACTGGCATCTGCTTCAATGACGTAGTCACGTTCGGGATCTGGCAAGATGAGCACCGTGCGGATGTTATGCTTTTTCAGCTGCTCCACGTTCCTGGTGTTCGTCTCCATTTGTAGGCGTGTTCTTCTTCAACAGATTCGTGAGTGTGCCGAGTTTCGCATACTGTGGCACGAACCTGTTTTATTAGCGAAGCCTAGGAACTGCTGCAACTCCTTCACGTTCTCGGGTGTCTTCCACGTACGTACGCTTCGATTTTCTTGGGTCGACGTGAACTCCTTGAGCGCTCACCATGTGGCCTAGAAATTGGACCTTCTCCAGGGCGAATTCGCTCTTGGATAGTTTGACGTAGAATCGTTCCGTCGAAGAATTTCGAAGACGCGTCGCGGTGTTCGACGTGCTGCTTCATGTCGCGCGAGTAGATGAGTATGTCGTCCAGGTACACCACCACGCATTCGTCCAGAAGTGGTCGTAGAATGTGGTTCATTTCGGCTTGGAACGTTGCCGGTGCGTTAGTGAGTCCGAACGGCATTACCAAATACTCGTACGATCCGTACCGAGTTCGGAAAGCAGTTTTGTGGATAGAGTTGTCCGCCATCCGTATCTGCCAGTATCCGGACCGCAGATCCAGTTTGGAAAATACCGTAGCTCCCCGAAGCTGGTCAAGCAGGTCATCGATTCGTGGTATCGGATACTTGTTCTTGATGGTCTGCTTGTTAAGAGCTCGGTAGTCGATGCACATCGCAGGCTTCCGTCCGGTTCGGTGTGAAGAGTACTGGGGCACCGTACGGCGAAGTGGATGGCCGGATGAGTCCTTAGCTAGGAGATACTCGATTGCTTCTCATGTCGGTCAGCTCCGTAGGGCTGAGCCGATACGGTGCTCGGAAGGTCGGCTTCGAACCCGGTTCCTCCACGATCTCGTGTTGATGCGTTCGGTATGGCGGTAGCTCGTTCGGAAGATCGTCAGGAAGGATGTCTTGGAACTCCTTCAATAATTCCTTGATTTTTTCTGGAGTTTCCGAGGCTTTCTTTCCGTCATTCTCCACCTCTGTTGCTATTGCCAGGAACCCGGTGTCGGTCCGCTTCACGTCCTTCTCGAATCGTGCGAGTGTCTCCACTGGGATATCTCCAGTATCGTCCCAGTTGGGTAGCTGTACTCTCCGTCCATTGTTGTAGATGCTTGCGGTGCGGTTCACCCAGTTGATCTCGGGGTTGAATTTTTTCAGGAAGTCTCGCCCGAAGATCAAGTCAAGCCCTTTGATGTTGGTGATGGGGAGTGCAGGTCTCCAGCGCAGTGGTCCAATTTGTAGGTGTAACACTGCTTCGCCGTGTACTGGTAACTTGCTGCCATCCACCATCGTTGCAGAGAATTTTGAAGGCTTGTACTCTTCTCGAAGTCGGTCGATTATTGCCTTGTCGCAGACGGTGTGTGACGCTCCGCTGTCCACGAGTGCTTGGAGGCGTCGTCCTTTGCAGATGACCTCGAGCACGAGAGGCAGTCGTTGCTCGGAGTACCCAAAGATAGTTTCATTGATTGGGTCATAGGGTACATCCCAATGTTCCGTACACACCTTTGTGTTGCTATCTGCTCCTGAGCTAGCAGCTGGCCGAGGCTGCTTGGAGAACGGCTCTTCTCCAGGGCCCGGAGTTTCCTTGACGACTGTGCGCGTCACTGATGCCGAAGAACTGGATGCATCCGTAGAAGGAGTTCGGGGTTTTTGCAGCTTCTTGTAGACCCCCAGCTTCCTCTTGAGCTGCTTCAGCTCCACCGACGTCTTCCCTGGGGAGCGGGTAGTCGTTGTGGGCTGGTGTCGGGAGAGGACGTTGACTCCGTGGAAAGGTCGGCTTCTTTCCACACTCCTTAATTTGGTCCCCAAGTTGTCCGGTCCCGGTATAATCTCCACAGCTGTCTGCTTCTTTTGGAGTCCCTCCCGAAATTTCTCCAAGGCTCTAGCTCCTCGAAAATCATAAGTTTTCATTAAAGCATCTTTATAGGATAGCTTTAACGAATTCTTATAATTTCTTGGGTCTTCAAGGAGTTTCCCCGTCTCGGCAGAGTCTTTTTTCGCGGAGTCTGATTTTTCCTCGGCGAATTTTCCTGGCGAAGACTGGTCGTGGGGTGGAGATTTTCCCCCATCATTTCCTCCTGCTCGCGTCGAATCAGCTTCGTCGAAGTTGATTTTCTCGGAATCCCGCGGCCGTTTCCGGATCTTTTTATTTTCGCCAGCTAGATCCGCAATCACTGGCGACTCCCTTTTTTGTCTTCTGATTGGCCGAAAGATTTCCGCCACTGTTGCGTGCCCGATACTCTGCGCGTGCGGCCTTCATTTTGTTGCAGTCGAAGATTCGGTGGCCCGGCACCCCGCAAAAATCACACGTGTAGTTGGTGTTTTTCGGACGTGGCCGCCCCTCGAATCTGTCGACTTCCATCGGGTCGGCGAACGTGGGGTGAGCCGAGTGGTCGCCCTGTCGCGTACTGCCGACGTGCGTCCGTCGTGTTCCGGTGTTGACCATGTCGAAGCGCTCCGCGGCCGAAACGACGTCACTGTAGCTCGCGTATTTTGACGCTGCCACCTGTCGTTTGACTTCGGTCTTCAGCCCTGCGAGGTACGATTGCACTTTTTCCCCTTCGGTCAGGTCGGGAATGCGGTTATAAAATTCTTCCATCTGCTGCGTGTACTGTGATACACTCCCGAACTGTCGATGACGATGAATTTTTTCGCGGGCAAGAAAACTCGAATTTATCGGCTCGAATCGCTTCAGCAGGTCGGCGCGGAACTGCTGCCACGTGGCTTCACCGTGGATGAAGGTGCTGTTGCCGCCAATCCACTCGAGTGCCGGCCCTCGCATTAGTGTCGCCGCGAGTCGTACGCGTTGACCGTCCCAGACTGGCGAGCTCCATCCGACGGCTGCGAAGTAGATCTCCATCCCGGCGATCCATCTGCGGGCGTCGGAGTTTCGATCGCTCGGATCGAACGGCTCAGGTGGGCGCGGTTTCGGAGCCTCGAGAAACTGCTGCGACTGCTGCGTCGTCGCCGTTGTCGTCTCGTGCTGCGCTCCGGCGAGTCGAGTTACTCGCTCGAACTGGTTTCGCCACGCTTCGCGATCCGCTCGCATTTCCTCCTGAAGGGCTGCGATGCGCGCGAAGAGCTGCTGGGTAACCTCGGCGTTGTCGAAGGTTGCCATCCTGTTCAAAACACGCACGGAGGGGGTAATTCGAAAATCGCGGAGCTGGTGCTTACCAGAATCGGCGTCGAATTGGTCGCCCCCGGCGGTTTTTCGAGGCAGGATCCCCGCTGCTGCTGCTTAGCTGAGCGCGGTCGAGTGAGAAAAGCTCTGATTACCAAGTGTCACAGGATCGAATGTGTCGAGGAAAGGTTGCACTATCGATCAGTACAAGGCGCTTTTATACTTCCAGAGTACATCAAGTAACCAGGTTTATCCTATCTAAAGGAATAGACCCTTCTAGAAAATAGAATCACCCTGCGTATAGCCACGCGAGGCTATTGGCTTTAAGAGATTACGACAGGATTACGCTAGATAGCGTGTCTAGAACATTCCATGCTTGGTCGGTGATATAATTATAATAAGGGAAGAAACCAAAGGATAATGGAAAATGGGGAATATGAGGCAAAAGGAGATGAGATAAAAAGAGGAATGAAATGAAGATGAAATATGGAAAAAGGCCAAGTGGTGTAACGGAGTCGTACTCTCACAGAGGCGTCTGACTGCCTCGCCCCTGGACAGCCACCGAATCGTGTGGATTCCTTGAACTTCAAGGTTGGTCTTGTGGATGACGCGCTGAAGGTACTTGAACCGCTGGCTCCACACGCTTGAACGGCCGAGGAGATCGGCCAGAGATCGGATAACCTTGTCGACCATGTCCAAGTCTGGACAGGCAGACGCGGCGTCCTTCACAGCCAGAGCTTCCCTGCGCACAGTCCATGTAAAAAGATTAGTAAAGGAATAAAAGAAAAAAGCGAAAACATAACACAACGAGTTTATACCGGTGGGCGATGCAGTGGGACGACACAAGGTGAGGGATGTGCTCGCGGAGCCGCGCCACGAGACCGTTCTCACGACCAACCATGACGGAAGCGCCATCGGTGCTGATTCCCGCGATGCGGTTGAGTTCGATGCCGGCGCCTTGAAGATGAGTGAGAAGCACGGAGAGCAGGGAGGCGGCATCGCACTTCTCGACGGTGAGCAACGAGAAAAACTCGGTGACGACGCGGCGATGGCGCAGGAACGTGAGGTACACTATCAGGTGCTTCCCTCTAGTACGATCAGTGCTCTCGTCGCAACTGATGCCGATGAACGGGGACGATTGAATGTGCTGCATCTGGGTCCATTGAAGAAGAGTCGCCAAGCAGTGGACCATCTGTTGAAAGTCGTACCTGCATGCAAAAGAGAGTAATTGTTAAAATAATCCAACGGAGAAGACTAATGGAATGTCGTCGCCGGTACTTACCGAGTGAGATAAACACCGTAAGACTGGAGCGGTAGGTCCGGGGTGTCCTGCTCAGCCATAAAGCGACATAGCCGAGGAAACATGCTGATGGGAGCATCGACCTTACAGAGAAACTCAACAGCGCAGAGCAGTCGCACGACCCGCCTCCCCTCGACATCCGACGACAAATAGTCGTCCATCCTCTTCTGCCCATCGGCGATGTCGTCGGCAATCTTCAGCTGGGCATCCACAGCTTCCTTGTGTGCAGAAGAGTGCTCGTGTATGCGCATGGTCTGTGTCTGCAGGTCTCGGCCACCATCGCCCGAAGAGCTGTACTTGGTGGTCTCCTTGCCAAACGTCATGCACACACTGCACTTGAGAGAAGGGTGGCCGTCTTTTGTTTTGGTCAGCACTAGCCATGGAAAGAAAGGCAGCCATGAAGTTTTGTACTTTGCTTCAGCGACGAGGTATTTCTGCTCTATCAATTCCTTCTTACTCAGCTTTGGCGGTGGCGGTTCAATGACGGCAGGGACTGCACTAGGTGATGGTGGCGTGGACGGGCGGCGGAGCCTACCTCCGATCATGATTTGAGACTGGGTGTACTTGCCCGTCCGTTGTTTCTTCGCAGACGAAATCGTGGACGCGCAGGGCACGCTGTAGCGGACTGTGGTGGCGGTGACGCAGTTAACGGGCAGAGTCGGGCCTCTGCTGGATGAGGCGACGGCAGGCGGAGGGACATATGGTGGTGGCACGAAGCGCGCGGACGGGGGTGGGTTTAGAGCAGGCTGGGTTTCCTCCGCCGCGGAGGAAACCACAACAGCAACGACGGGAGGAGAACCTAACGACCGCAGTATGTCTATCGCAGAGCGACGAACCTCTGCAGGCTCGTTACTACGAGGTGGTTCATCGGCGCTGGGCTCATCGTCTTCTTCTGCAAGAGTCCCCGTCATGGCTGTTGACGGGGTCGACAAACGAGAACCTACGTGAGGACGACAACAACGAAACACGAATTGACGAGTAAGATTTACAAACCCCGTGTAAAAGCCTGAGTGTGCCTGAGAGGAGGGGGAGGGATGAGAGGGACGAAGAAGAAGGGCACCATCAAGCCCGAGGCGCGTGTTTCTTGGTTAACTATCGTCGTCAGCTTCTGGATGGCAGCCCCTTCCAAAACCGCGCTGCCATGCTAAACATGAGCTGACGTTACGAACGAACCATGTGTTGGCATGGACTGTCGCCAATCACGGTCGGTCGGAAAGTTTTGCACATGCCAGCGAGGGCAAGAATCCCGCGTTACCAACCTTTGATGGCTTCCAACACACCCACGTAGAGGTCGCACGCGTGGCAGGAAGCATGACGCGCTGAGCGGCAAAGTCCCTGTTGAGGCAGCATCACAGTCACAGAGGGGGCGAGAATCCTGCCAAGTGCAGATACTTCACGTGAGACGTGCGGGGGTGAAATGATGAAGGCAACATATGACGTAGTAGAGGAAATCTCGTGGAAAGTACAAGGTGCATGGATGTCGCATTCAGAGTCCATACGCGATGTACTCTGAAACCTCAGTATCCGCACAACGACTACTCTGAAAACTTCAGGATCCAAAATCTTACTAGTCTGAAGGGTTCAGTATCCAGAAAAGCCTAAGTCTGAAAAGTCAGGATTGGCAAAAAAATGGGTCTGAAATTTCAGACCATCAGACTAAAATAGTCTGATAAAATCAGCCCTGCTTGTACCGACCTTGATGAGAAAGCCTTTTTCTTTTGTACAACCCTGATGAGAAAGCCTATTTTTCTAGAACAAGACTGATGGAAAAGCGTTTTTTTCCCTATCGACACCAGGCCCTCATATTGGTTTTTAGTCACCCTGATTGATCAGGGTGGTCTTGAGGAAAAAAACTTTCGGTCAGCGTTGTTACAGTAAACTACCCTGATTTTTCAGCGTCGGTACTAGCGCTTGCGCTGATGATTCAGGGTAGTAACTGCAGCTAACGCTGATCTTAGCAAAGGGTTGGGTAATTAGGAATTGCATAGCTGCTTGTCTGTCACTCACACACATGCTATGGTGGATTTACGATGCATTCAGGTTCAGGGAAACTAGCAGCGGCAAGGAACATAACATACTATAAAGTTATAAACTCTTCTCTGGATAATTACCTATGGCATTGTGCGCCAGCAGTTTTAATTTGTGCATGTTTCAAGCTCATAAATAACCTAGCTTATGGTCGAAATGTTCATGCCACACTTTCTACTCGTCTTCCTCCTCATCATCCCAACGATCCTCTGGCTCTTCACCAACAAGCTCGGTATCCTCGTCTTCATTCTGCTCTGCTGGTGCCTCTACAACCTTCTCCTTCCCCTTCTTGGTTGCGGGCTACTTCTTCGGTCGTGCAATTAGGTTGAAGGGCTTGCGCTTCTTGTAGCTGCGCTAAATGCCCACGATCTCGTCCCAGTTTGGGTCGTACTCTAGAAGTGACATAGCCATGATATCAGAGAGCCGTGCATCCTTGATTGCACCTCTCTGCCAGCTCTTGATGGAGTTTTGCCTAGAAAATCCCCTCTCACACTCAACTGTACTCAGGGGCAGAACAGCGACAGCAATCCACAGCTTGACCAAGTTCGGATACGCATCCTGCCAGTCAGGAGTCTTCAGCATCGCTGTGAGACCGGGGAAGAAAGTCTTCTCTGTCTTCGGGGCAGCAGCTCGGACCGGGCAGAAATTGCGCAGCTCCTTAAAGGCCTTGCGCTTGTCAATGCCTGCCAAGCACCACGCATAGTGTGGGAAGAATAGAGGGCAGCATTGGCATAGAGTACAAATACGAGGTCACATGCAGAAAACGAACAGAAACAGGACAAGACTAGACATGAAATATTGGCAAGTACAATACAAGAAAGTCGAAAGAGACCTGCATGCTCAGCACGCACCAGGTAAGGTCTCGTCTGACTGCTGTGCCTTGAACAACGTTACCAAAGAGATCAAGTTCTCCCTGCAGTACTCATTACGTTCCTGCCGCCCAAGCGGCCACCCATCCACAATGAAAAGCCGCACTTCCGAGAGAGCCTCCAGGTCACCAAGGCGGTCCTGCAAATTTTGGACCATCGTCTCCGCCATCGTTGTCCCAAGATCCACACAGTGGTCTTCGCTGAATGGGCCGTCATAGCCCTCCAATGCAACATCGTGCAGCATGTAGGTGTGTGTCGTTGGCCGCCCATCCGCATCCACACCCTCCACAGTCACCTCCCTTGTGCCGCCCTCCCCATGCTTCTTCAGGAACTTCGAAAGGCGCACGCTAACGCCCCCACCAAACTCGTCGCTGCAGTCAACGTAGCGAGATTCGATGAAGGTGGTGGTGCAGATGATCTGCGACTGAACGGCGATTAGGTCGAGCTGCCAACACAAGAAAGAGAACCAGAGAAACGTCAGCTCAGACAAAGATGATAGAAGGAAGTCACCACATGCAAAGGGTTGGACACAAATAGGCAGGTTCAAAACTGTCAGAGCGTGGGAGCTGTACAATGCTCAAGACACACCTCGCACTGCTGGATCGTCTTGTTCAAGACGTTTAGCTGCTCAAGTAGGTCGGCAAGGTAGAACAGAAGGAACTGGAAGGTGAAACTGGTCACGATCTTGTACATGCGGTGGTCATCAAACTCAAACAGCATGACAACGACTCCAGGCAAGACTGCAACCAACCTGAGGACTGCCTCATCACGAGACAGCCACCGGACATTGCAGATTCCCTGCAGTTCGAGGCTGGTCTGGCTGAACAGTTCCTGGTCAAGGGACCGCTGATGCCAGGGGCCAGAGCGGCCGAGGAACTCAGCAAGCCAGCGGATCACAACATCGATCATGCCAAACTCGGGTATGGCATCAGCAACATCCTTTGCTGCCAAAGACTCTCTGCCACAGGACAAGCCTACAATGATAAACAGTTAAGGCATTGCCATAGAACACAGACTAGTAACTGCATGATTATAAGGGCATAATTCCATACCTGTGCGCGATGCAGTGACAAGCAACGAGGTGGGCACCCGGGTTTGAAGACGAGCAACGACACCGCTGCGGTGGCCCAACATCACAGCAGCCCCATCGGTGCTCATGCCAGTGATGCGCATCAGATCCACACCGACGCCTACATATGGGACATCAGCAGGCCAACCAGTGAAGCGGCATCGCGTGTTCGTCTGTCAACAGAGCAAAAAACTCCGTGACGATTCGCCCCTCACGCAGGAATGTGGCATACACTATGAGGTGTTTGCCGCGGCAGCGATCTGTTGATTCGTCGCAGCTGAGGCCGAGGAACGGACTGGCGCGAATGTGGTCGAGCTGGGTTGTCTGCAGCCAGGTGGCTGTTGCTTGAGTAAACTCAGCAAACCCATACCTAGCACACAAGAAAACAAGATCGGCATTAGCACGATGTAATACCCAAGTTGAAATAAAATACAACAACCGAGGTATGGGTATAAAACCGCATGACAGATTCGGGTTTAAGCGATTCAAGCACGTACGAGTTGTAGTACGTGCCGTAACCTTTCTTGGGGAACCCAGCCACGCCTCGCTTGGCCATGTACCGAACGAGGTGAACCCATGCTTCCATGGGTTCGTTACTCTGGCAGCTGAACACGAGGGCGTCGAGGAGAGCAACCACATTCTCCTTCTCGAGGTCGAGGGCAATGGGGTTGTTGTCGATTCTCTGTTGACGAGTTGCCTCCTGGAGTAAGTCGCTCTGGCACTGCATCGCCAGCTTGTGCTTCTGCGTCCCAGCATGGCGCTTGAAAGCTTGAGTCTGCACGTCGGTTGCTCCTTGCCCACCTCGGCTGCACTTGCCATTAACACCGGCGTGTTCAAGGCACACACTGCACTTAAAAGACCGGAAACCACCAAGGGTTTTTGTTAGCAAAAGCCACAGGTAGCGCTCCTGCCAAACCGACTTGTACTTGTCAAGCGCATCCGCATACAGCAACT